TATAGGCAATTCCTTAATATACATTAGAGCCACTTAAGCCACTTAAAGGAATTTTAATGTAAAAGTACATATTGAGATATGAACAAACATTTATATTTTTAAGTACTTTTCTTAGTTCAAACTGCCGTGAGTTGGGTTATGCAGTTTGAATGGGGTATTTCTCCTGTTACATGATTGCCTTTATTGAACTGAAAGCACTGTAAAGGCACCAGGTTGGACATCTAAGCGGATGGGCTGCTCTGAATTTATGAAAGACAAAAATTAAATGAAGGGAAGAAAGAAGATTGTGGAAAATGCAAACAAAAAAACGTGGCAACAATGACAAAAAACAGGAATAATCATTTCTAAAAAGGCAGTGAACTGGATTTTCTGATCAGCTATTATGTAGTGCAAAATTAGCTTTTACCTGGAAAAAAAAAAAACAAACACACAATATTATTAATGAAATCATCATTTTGTGCTCTTTAGCAACAGTCTTCCTGGAATTCTGGAAAAGACGGAGAGCTGTCCTGGCATATGACTGGGATCTTATTGACTGGGAGGAAGAAGAGGTAAAATATATTTCCTTCATCTCTACTCCTTGTTATCTGTATTAATTGTTCTTTAGGAAGCTAAGATTTGCATTATTTTTATCAGGTATTACTTTCTGATATATTAACACTTTGTTTTTTTCTCCTTTAGGATGAAATAAGACCCCAATTTGAGGCCAAATACTCCAAGAAGGAAAGGATGAACCCTATATCTGGAAAGCCAGAGCCTTACCAGGCCTTCACTGAAAAATACAGTCGCCTACTTGTCTCATCGTCTGGAATATTCTTCATGGTGGGTTTATGAGACATTCTTTAAATCTAAACATGTCTAACACCTTCTAATCTGTTTTAAAATTGTCTATAACAAATGTTTGAAACATTCATAGTACAAATAGTATAAACACATGATTTCTCATTTGAATTTACATTAGAAGCTAACTTTTTGGCAGTAGGAAATGTTTAATCCCAAAATAAAAGTAGCCTATTTAATTGTTTTAACATGATGTTAAGGAGGCTGGAAAGAGCCAATAAGAAGCTAGCAAGAGGCAACTGGTAGAAATCACAACAAAACAAAAACTTTTTTAATAAGTAGAGAGCAACAAAAACACAGACATATGTTTCCCCTATCAAAAAACATGTCTAAATTAAGGGGTTATTTGAGATGCTATTCACAAAAAGGTGTAATACCGATTCTGTGCCAGCAAGTGGCAGCAAAATTGGATTCTGATTGTAAAGCAGTCCTAGACTAATGCTACATTCAGACCACAGGTGATAGAGGCAGGAGAAGCGGCTAGTTTACATGCAAAGCCTATTGTTGACGCGCATCAACGAGCATCAAAATGTTCTGCACCGCATCTAGCGCAGCGGGAGCAGTGCGCCTCATCAACCAATCAGAGAAGCTGATCTGGGAGCTGACAAGGAGACAGACACAGCACTGCTGATGCAGATCGCTATGATCACTCCCCCGAAACAGTTTATTAACGTCTAAATTAACTTAAAATGTCAAAACCTGCTGGCAAAATATGTTCGATTTTATTATTCTAGTTCCTGCAGTTTGGATTACGTACATGAAAAAAAAAACACCTTCCAGCTGCCGGGAGCAGTAGCTGAAATTCCTCAAGAGCGACCGGGCCAGAGGCTGCCTTTGAAGGGGATTTCCAGTGACAGCTCCGCTGGTGTATGGGGGTTAGAGCTAATCCGACAGCGAAATAATATTTTAAGGCAGGATCGTAATCTTGATGAGCTGCACAGAAGAAGTGTTCATGTGGACTTTTACACTTAAAACATATCAAAACTACTTTTCACCCACTTATAACAGCAAATATAGCAAAGCAAATTGAACACAGGAGCAGCAGAAGCATCAGCCACATCTGGACACACTTTATTAGACGCGCTTCTGGAGCATCAAGCATACATTTGATGTGCGTCTGACCTTAATGTGAACAAGCAGCAAAAATGAAGCAGCAAAAGCTTCTTTGTTGCTTCCAGGGCTTGCGGTCTGAACATAGCATTAGAGTTATCATGGACAGCAACAGAGTCGGGATAGAGTGAGACTGATTTTGGGGTCAAAAATATAAATATTTAAAAAAAACTTCCTAGCACAGAACAATGTGCTAACATTTAAAAGCAGATCATCGTATCATTTTAAATAGTCTACAATGATCTTTTGTAGAAAAAACAGAAAATGTGTCCGCTTAGATAGGAAGGGTAAATCTAGGATTTATTTTTACATTTGCAATAATATCTGTGTTAATGTGGACAGTTCTGTGGAAGTCAAAGATAAATAGACCAAACGTTAAGCAGTCAGAATTAAACTGTTGACCTTTCTGTATTTAGAGCTTCTAGTTTTAGAGCTTCCAGTCTGAATCTGAACTACAGCGCCCCCATCTGGGAGAGTCAGAGATATGGAGCAGCCCCAGGTTTAGTATATGGCTTAAATGTCAATATGTATAAAATAAATCTATTACTGTCTTGTATGTAGATGACTTTGAATTCTGCTACAATCTAGCTATAAACCTGATTTACAAAAGTTGTTAGCCTCTATTTGTTAGCAGCACAACAATTAGCAAACCTAATCTTTTCTTAATTGCACCTACAACACCCTAAACTGATTAGTAATGCCATTTACAGCTTTGGTCTCTGAGTGGAAACACATAATCTTTACTTATTGGATGCAGCGTGTGACAATTTTGAAGACTGTTAGCTGTAGAACAGTTCAGTTTTAAAAAATTTCTTTAACTTCAATATTTTAGAAATTTATTTGTATCTATATGGCTGTAATGTTACTTTTAGTCAAAACTGACATCTTAATTTGTTCTTTTAATTTGTTGCTCATTTAATCCAATATTTTATTTGGATCTTTGATATAAAAGTTTGTAAACTATCTGTCTGTCTGTCTGTCTGTCTGTCTGTCTGTCTGTCTGTCTGTGTTATCCATTTTAAGACTTTATGTGACTGCCTGATCCCATCAGTGCCACCGCTTCATCTCATTTACCTTCAGTCTCTTAGCAACTATAATTTTTTTAAAGGTTTAAATAACATAAAGCTAGAAGAGCCATAAAGATAGAAGTATTAAAGTAAAACTCACCAGCTTTTATGTATATTACATTCTTTTTTTTTTTATTCTGACCTAAAAGATACTGGTGGTGATTGCTGCTGTGTTTGGCATTGTGATTTACCGTGTGATCACGGTCAGCACCTTCGCTGCTTTTGGCTGGGCGCTCATCAGGAATAACTCTCAGGTGGCAACCACAGGCACTGCAGTCTGCATCAACTTCTGTGTCATTATGCTTCTCAACGTGGTAAGTTACGCATGCTTTACTAATCTCTGCAGCAGGAAAAAACAGCACTTTTATTTTAATACAAATCCTACTGTGTTATAGTGCAGTCTCTCCTGCAATAGTGGTTTATTTTCAGTTGAACATTTCTAGAGTCTGTTACATCACAATACCTTAGTAGTTTGCACTATATTGAATTTTATTTTAAATAAACATCTGAAAAGTGTGCTTTGCATTCAGATAGGAAATTCAGAACCAGTCTGTCGCAGGGCAACACAGAGACAAACACACTGACATCTAAGGAGAATTTAGAGAAGCCAGTTTACTAAACAGTCATGTTTTTTGGACTGTGGGAGGAAGGCGGAGTACCCGGAGAGAACCCATGCATGCAAAGGGAGTCAAACTCCATGCAGAAAGATGCCTGACCAGGAATCAAACCTGAAACCTTACTGCAAGGCAGCAGTGCCACCCACTGTCCCACTGTGCTGCCATGATTTATTGCTTATTAAACTATCTTCACCTATAATTAAGCTATATTTAAGCTATAATTAACCCTAACCCTTTTTATAGTGACTTTCTATACCAGTATTGCACATCTAGAATCTGAATTCTTTGCCCATTCCTCTTTCCAGAACAGATTAATCTTGGTCAGCATCGATTTTCAGGTTTTGTCAGAGGATCTTATATTGCTTTGCTTATTGACTTTGACTGTCAAACCAAACGAAACAATGTTGTTTAACCTTTTCATTGGAGATCTGGCTATGGGTTTAGGATGCTATCCTGCTGGACGTGGGACCCTCTCTTTAGTTTCAAGTCTTTTGTTGCCTTTAATACATTTTCTTTCATGGTATCCTGTATTAAGATCAGTCTGTATTTCCATTTAATCTGACCAGTTTCCAAGGGCTTGTTCAAGAAATGTAGCCTCACATCATGATACTGCCTCCACCATGTTTTTATAGTGGTTTATCTCAGGTCATACACTGGATTTGAAAACACTCAGTATTTGGCAAATAATTTAATTTGTCCTCATTTGGCTTGAGCACTTTCTTGCATGTTTACCCTGTCCCTCACTTGCATTTAAGAATACTTTCAAATTGGACTTCTTATGATGTTCCTCAAACAATCGGTCTTGTTTCTCCTCCATGAATTCTATGCAGTTTTGGAAAATTAAAAGTCTGCATCAATGTTAAATAAAATGTTAAATATGCTTATGAACAAGTTTTATGAACAAGTCTGAAATCACATTTAGCTCCTTCTTCAATAGAACATTTTCATTGTTTTCTTCATTGTTAGTATTGGAGTTTTACTTAATTCAGATATTAAAAGAGGGTGACAAGCTGCAACATAAAGTAATTCACTGTTTCTATGAAACCCTGATAGAATTTCTCTACTGTCTCTAAAATGATGTGCTTTAATTCACCTGGGTGCCAAAGTAATCTCAACGGTCTTAGAATGCCTACAATTGTTTTCCTTTTAACTGACCATGCAGAAACCTTGCAATCATAAAGGCCAGAATAAAGACTTAGGGAGTGAACTAGCAATAAATCTCTCATGCTTGCTGTCTCTGTGCAGCTTCCCCAAAATAACGATGGGCCTCTGCAATACAGGGATTTAATTGGCCCCTATCTAGCCATTAGGTGAATCAGAGGGCAGTTGTTTGTTCTACATTTTATCCAGGGGTATCAGCCTAGAGGGGGATATGTCTAACTGCATGCCAAACTGTTCAGTGTTTCATTTGTTTGGCATTTGCACTCATGCAAAAAAACTTTACTATTATGTAAGCATTTGCATGTTTAGTTATGTCAGTAAAATGTTTTATTACTTCTCTGTTCTTCCACAGCTTTATGAAAAAGTTGCTCTTTTCCTCACAAATTTAGGTGAGTCCACGTTAAGATGTTTTTAAGTAGTAGTCATAAATATCGCTGTGTCTTTCAACTTGATTTATCCTTCAGGATGTTGGCATCCTTCAAATTAGAAATGTAAACAAACTGCTTGCATCTTTTAGATTTGGTAAAGAACTTGTGAATTCTTGAGTTTTTTTAGTGCTCTGTCTTTAATTTTTCTCTTATGTGTGACTACAGAGCAGCCGAGGACCGAGTCAGAGTGGGAGAACAGTTTTACCTTCAAGATGTTCCTTTTCCAGTTCGTCAATCTCAACAGCTCAACTTTCTACATCGCTTTCTTTTTGGGAAGGTGAGAAAACTGTCTACAAGTCTACAAGGGATTTTTTTTTTTTTTTTTTTACAGTGTCCTGTCTGGCAATGTGGCAATAAGAATAATTGTCTTGATGCCAAAAAGAGCCCAACAGATTTTACTTTCACAAGTGTAGCAGTATGGCAACTGCTCCACTTGTTTCATGCA